CCGTTCAGGAGTTATAACGTTGTGAATTTTTTTTAAATACTGCCAAGATTTTAACAAAATTTCAAACCGTTATAACTCCTGAATGGATGCTTATTTTTCGATGAAATTTGAAATCTGTCGATGAAATTTGATGTAGCTTACTATGAAATTCAAAAAGTCGGAATACCAAAAAAGGTTAAAAACATTTGTCCATTTGGGCAAGCAAAAAAATTATTTTTTTTTCGCAAACTACAATCACAAACTTTTGACCACGAAACCTCATTACTTAGCTCCAATATGACCCCCATAAGTTCCATCTAGGTCTCATGCGCTAACGCTGAGATCTAACATACCCAGAAATTCTGGATAAACCACTGATACAAAGACAATTAATGCAAAGAGTGTACTATATACATTATCTAGACGAACCAATAGGAAATAAGCGCCATATAAATTGTCGCCGACAATTGATCGCTAATATCTACTTCTTCTTATGAACGTCAGTGACAATATTTAAATGATGTGTTGAACACATGTCAGGATATTTTTGAATTTTTTGAGAAGAATCTTCAATTTTTTGAAAAATATAGGAATATAGGAAAAAAGCTCAAAATATAGTCTAATATAGGAAAAAATTTTAAAATATAGGAAATATAGGATATATAGGACTGTTGCGAAGCCAGATCAAGTCTCATTTATGTTATTTTGGTTCTAGTAAACTCAATCATTGGGTTTTTAGCGTGCTATGCAATTGGAAATACAAATCGAATGAATACAGAAATAAACAAAACTATGGTTAATATGAAGAAATTAAATGGTGATAAAATAAATATATATTTTTATATTTAAAGTAATTGCTCACAACTATTAAAATTGTATCCAGAATTCGAAGATTTTCCTAAACTCGAATTATGTAAAAGTCAGGAAAATTCAATTATTCTAGGAAAAGTCGCTATTTTATTATCTGTAATATATGATTCATTTCTTCCTTACGCTCTGTATGGACCACCACTTTTGCCGGTGATTTTGATGATCATTACATCTTTATTGTTATTCGGCACAAACTTTTTGAATGACCAAGGAACCATTATCGTCATCGAATCAACATCCATTATAGCTGGTTATCTAATGATAGTTGGACAATGTGTATTTGCTCGTTATGGCGATAAACTAAAATATCAATATAGGAAATTTATAGGATGTTTACGACGTTATTGCAGAACTCGTCATCACATTTATGATAATTTGAACGTTTAGTTGCTGACTAATATAAAAAAAATATTTATTATTTTTTACTGGTTCATATCATCCTGTTGAAAATATATTTTATTTCTTATTCTGTTATCTTTAGATTTAAGTCATCATGAACATTGTGTAATTCGTCTTGTTCATCAGGTGGTATTTGCACATTTACAATAATATGAGGATAGATCGAAAAATTATGATTTATGTACATCACTTAATGCACTACATGAAACATTTGTTTATCAATATATGGAAGAGTTGTTAAGATCGGATCGAGAACATGAACATGTTCAATTTATGTATGATAAACATAAAACAAATCTTGATTTAACCAAGCAAGTTGATAAAGAACTTATTAATGAAGATAAAGAAGAAGATAATGATGATAATGAACCATATGCTACTGATGGAAATTCGTCTAGTAATCTACAGCAATTTTTTAATGATTATTATGAATCAAATATGTTTATTCAAAAGGTATTTATTGAATCACATGATCTTCATTTCCGAATATTGCTCTATTTACTCGCATACATGTTAAAGTCGGTTAAGATATGTTTTATATTTATCAATTTCAATCATCTTATTAATATTCGAGTTTAACGAACGTATACCATGAGTTTTTTTTACCTACAAGAAGAAGGATATATGAGTTTCAAACGATATTCGACCATTCTGAATAGTCCTTCATGAAAATAATCATACTATTCATTGCCTAGCCTTGCTTAATATTCATACGTTGTTTAATTTAATTAAAATAAGAATATGCATCTATCGCTCAGTTCTAACACAAATTGAGTTCATTCTTTTCTCCTCAATTGTAGTATTGCATTACAACTGTTATTCAAGAGAGCATCCATGAGGTAGACCTAGCATCACCTCAATATATGAAGCACTTGATAGTCTTTTTTTAATTTTTTTTATGCATTTGAGGTGTCAATGTCAAAAGCTTTCAACCTGAAAATTTTCGCTTCCAATACATTCGCTTCGAAAAGTTAGCTAATACTGACCTTTAGTACTATCATACGTTCATGAGAAAAAACCAGAAAAATTGTAATATGCATTTATTGTGCTATCATGATCATATATTTTGTCCAGAATAAACGGTAGCTACTCTTATATTTCATGATGATAATATATAGAGTATCAACATGCCGTCTTTTTTTTCGAATTTGTATCGATTGATTGCATTTAGAGAAGAGAAAGAAAGAAAAACAATCAAAGGAGAGGAACCATGTAGTTTTCACATAATAAGAAAATACTTTTGATAAAAGAGAAACGAACAGGTAGTGACAAGAAAATTTTTTTTAAAGAAGACAAGCTGTTCTTAGAAATACACGACATATGCTCATCCTTTAATAGTATGCTTCTCTATTTTAAATTTAATGCATGGAGACCTATTGATACATTTTTTCTATACTTGTAGATCATCTTGCACAATTCTTCGTTGATATTTATTGATGAATTCTATGAACATTTGAAAAATTAATATCTAAAAATTAAAAATCGGTTATCAAAGAATAACAATAATAATCATATTTATGATTATATACATTTCAACGAAAATAAATATGAAGACTTTGTATTTTTGCCGTACTCAATTTTCTTTTTATTTTTGTCGAATATTCGACTTATTTTTTCTTTTAAATGAGATCCTTGTCATTGATCGATGTTAAACTGATTGCTGAAAATATAAATTTCATCTATATCATAGTTTTTCTTTACATAATTTTTTCTTTGTAGATATTCATGTTTAAAAAATTGTCTATCAGTTCATATTTTATCCTAGTTATGATCGGTACGATCATAGGACTAATAGTTAGTTATTCTCTGGGAGTATTTCATCGACATTCGAAACAAATCGACGAGGCCATGTTACGTTTAGATTTACGTAAGCAGAACCGATTGAAAATATTAGAAAATGTCAAGTCAAATTGTTCTCAACTGATTGTTGAATATCCTGAATTTAATGTCTATCCACAGATTAATCTGTGTAGCGATTACGATTTATCATCGAAATTAGTTAAATTAACAATAATTTTATCAACATTGTATAATATCTATTTATTTTATATGTTATATCGTTCAATTTTATTATCCATTATTATAATGGGAATATCGTCGACTTTCTTATTCAATATGAACTTCTTCAATAATGGACAAATTCTTCATTTCTTAGATGTTACCTTAGTTTTCATTGGTTTTGTTCTGATTGTCGGTCATATTCTATTAACAAATAAAAGGGTTATCAAAAACCAACAAATTCATATTGGTAATAATATTGATGATGAATAAGATTAACGCTAAAAATAATAATGTGCTTGTATTCAATTTATTGTTAATGCTATATTATTGTATCATAATGAGTTGATTGATACAAAAGAAATTTTGTTTTTCAATTTCATGTAATATTCTATTTGTATATATTGTATAATAATAAATTCTACCGTTAATTGAAAAGATTTTTTATTCATAAAATATGACTGCTATTTGCACGTGTTTATTATTTTGTTTATAAGTATAATCATATTTATTTAAAGATTTTTCATGAAGGTCTATCAAGTAATCGGATTAGAAACTGCTGATCAATATAATTGCTAATCAAGTATTTAGAACGATATATCAATTTCAATAAGATTTCCATCAATCTATTTTTGTATTGTTATTTATTCTATACTTTTTTCAAAAGTATTCAACCTGCATACTACTTTGAATTCCCCATTCTTCTTACAATATAAAGATCTTTTCATATCAATCTAAATGAAAACTGAAAGCTCGTGAAATGTTATATCAGCTTGTATATTTGCATTTTCGTTTGAATATATATTTTACCAAAAACATTGAGTGCTATGAAGGTACCCTCATGTATAGATTTCCACAGATTTGCTTTTGTCATTGTCATTAAAATTAGTTTTTAAAATTTTCTATCACTATAGAGTTATCTTTTGAAAAAGTAATTATATATTCTGATAGAGCTTGAAATTTTCTGTCATCCTATACACTTTTGTCTTGCCTTACATTTATGTGCTGAATGGACTGCAGCACATAAATGTAAAATAGTTAACAAATATACAGGGCGATAGATAATTTTAAGCTCTATCAGCATCTGCGATTGCTTTTTAAAAATAAATTTCCACACAGGAATAATACATTTCAAACGAGAAGTCCAGAAACAATGAATAATGCACATTTTCGGTACTTGTCATTTGACGGGGTGTTCACTATACTCAAATTTTCTTGAGGGGTCTGGGTGTGGGTGTTGAGAATGATCCTATCATTATTCACACACTCACACCCACATTATTCCTGGGACACCCGATATTATTGATATAGGTAAACAGATTGCTTGAATTGAAAGTAAGACACTATTCGATTTTGAATCTATATGAAACTATTTCTCATACACTTGTGAAGCTTTGAAAATAATTGAAAAAACAACGCTCGAGACTGAAGTGATATATTTCTAGACTCTTTCTATCTCTCGGAATCTTTGGATTGAAAAATGACGAAGCCGAATACCGTATTCATAAACCTGGATAGATCGCAGTAGGGAATGAAAAAATTGCTTAACCAACTTTGAGAGCAATTTTTGTATAATTAAATAAATAAATTTTAAATAACTATTCAGCCTATTCCGATGAAGAAGAAATCTGTAATTTATGTTGTCGTCTATTAAGTAAAATTGTTAAAAGACAACGTGATCTTGATGTTTCATTCTTAGTCCGGTAAGATTAATAAATGAGAAAGGTCTTTTTTTTTCTTTCTAAACACAAACTAATCTACTTTAGCTTATTTGATCTATGTCGATTTTGGTTACAATCCAATGAAACATCAAGTCACGATAGTTACTATGCTACCATATTTAGGGACATTTATAACACATTGTTTTAATTTAATATTAGGTTATATACTTGTTAATCATCAATGCCGTATGTTTTATCGTTTTGTTTTATAAATATTTAAAAATATTATTTATTTTTTTCAGACGAATGTATGGAACTACATGGCTTGAAAGTTTATTTCAATCATGTCAACGTAAAAGTAATAATGGATCTTCAAAAGATGAGCATTTATCTGACAATCAACATGGTTTATTAAGTTATGAACAGTTGCTAAATTTTGGAAATGATGCATTGGTTTGCTTTATTGAAATCTTATATGTATCGAATACGTGTTCGTTTTTACTTCAATGATAGATCTGGTTTAGGGCTATTTGGGAATGTGCACAATTTTGTGTTATGAATAAATTGAAAACACCACTTGGAAAACCGCAAGAAACATTTTTAGCGCTTGAAGGTAACAGTTTTATTTTCTGTCTTATTCATGAGGTTATGTCTCAAAATACACTTTGTAGCTGGTCTTTTCGTGTCAAATAAGTTTAGTAGCATTATTGAAAATATAAAAATGAATAAATTAATTTTCATTTAGAAATTTTACGTTTTTTTGCTTGGCCAATTGATAATAATACGAAAAAAGTCGAAGGATCTTCATCAGATCAAACGAATCGCTCTTCGACACCATCATCAACAACAGTAAATCCTCCTGCCACAGCATCATCATCATCCGGCGAAGCAAATGTTCCAGCAGATAAAGGTGATTGGTGGTGTGATTTACATCGTTGCGGTCTTTTACTACAATTGATTGAAGCACTTGAAAGTACAATGCATATGAAGGAGCAGCTCTTTCACTTCCACAATTACCTAAGGTGAATTTCTTGTTCATTTTATTCTACATCAATTGTTCTTGATCGAAAACAAAAACTATAGCAAATACACTGCGAAAAATTAATTGTCAAAAACTCATTCATTGCGTCAGCTTCAACGTTTGTTGGGTTATATCACCTAAATGAATTGATAATATGTAATATTTTAAATATCTCTTTTTTTCAATTACTGATGGCCTATCTTTTGATATACTCTATAGGAGAGTTGAATATGCTACAATGTAAAAAGGTATAATTTTTATATATCATTTTTTCTGTTTTTTTCTCATGAACGTATGATAGTACTAAAGGTCAGTATTAGCTAACTTTTCGAAGGAAATGTATTTGAAGCTAAAATTTTCAGGTTGAAAGGTTTTGACATTGACACCTCAAATGCATGAAAAAAATTTAAAAAAGACTTTATCAAGTGCTTCATCTATTGAGGTGATGCTAGGTCTACCTCATGGATGCTCTCTCGAATAACACTTGTAATGCAATACTACAATTGAGGAGAAAAGAATGAACTCAATTTGTGTTAGAACTGAGCGATAGATGCTTATTCTTATTTTAATTAAATTAAACAACGTATCCCATGTCGCGAATACCGCTTCAATTTTTGCGGTAAACCGCGGTAATTTTAGAAAAGCGGTAAATTTGTATGAAATGGGAGCCGGTAACCGGAGCGGTAATACCGCGGTTAACCGCTAGTTTTTCCGGTACCCTTTTTTTACCGTCATCATATAGGAAAAAAAGATGCCTAAAACAGTCCGATCAATGACTTTTAGCAACAATTTTTTATAAACGCTCAGCGAACCGGCTAATCGAAAAATACCGGCGGTAAACCGCGGTAAATTTGTGTTGATGGGAGCCGGTAACCGGACCGGTAAAACCGCGGTAAACCGTCAATTTTACTCCGGTTTTTCCTACATGGGATGAATATTAAGCAAGGCTAGGCAATGAATAGTATGATTATTTTCATGAAGGACTATTCAGAATGGACGAATATCGTTTGCAACTCATATATACTTCGTTTTGTAGGTAAAAAACTCATGATATGCGTTCGTTAAACTTGAATATTAATAATAAGATGGTTGAAATTGATAAATATAAAACATATCTTAACCGATTTTCACATGTATGCGAGTAAATGGAGCAAGATTCTGAAATGAAGATCATGTGCTTCAATAAATACCTTTTGAATAAACATATTTGATTCATAATAATCATTAAAAAATTGCTGTAGATTACTAGACGAATCCCCATCAGTAGTATATGGCTCATTATCATCATGGGCGTGGGTGTGGGTGTCAGTGATCATATTCCGTTTGCTCGCACACCCACACCCATTTCTTTTCATTTAACAAATAAACAAATAAATAAAAGAAGCAGAAAAGAAACGTATGACGTACTTTTATATTTTAGCTTTTCTCTTTTCTTTGAAGCGAAAGAGTAAAAGAAAATTTATTTACTTTTGTTCATTTATTTCGAAGTATAGAAAAAGAAACGAACAAAGATAACAGCTGACAAGTCTTATTCGATAGAAAATCGTTGAACACGATCATTATTCATATCGACGACATAGAGATTATCTTGTCGATCGAAAGAGAAACCATAGAGGCCGCTGAACTGATTTGCTCCTTCTCCTTTGCCATTTCCACCCACAATTACAGTGCCTTGTTTCTTGTCTCCTTGAGTCCAACGCATGACACGATGATTATACGTGTCTGCTACATAGAGTGTACCCAACGTATCAACGAAGATTCCATTAGGATTCTTCAATTGGGTCAGAGCACTCCCTTCGCCTTGTCCTCCAGCGGCCACAATACCCTCTTTTGCACCTTTATTCCATTTCATTACACGATGATTGTAGTGGTCTGATACGTAGACAGTCTGTTTTCGATCGACAAAGAGATATGCCGGCTCGTTGAGTTGATTGGTATCATTACCTTTACCATTACCACCAGCTACGAGAGTGCCATTCTTCTCACCCAATTGGTATCGTCTTACTTCATGTTTTACGTAGTCAGAAACGTAGAGATATCTGTGTTCATCCATTGCTAATCCAAAACAATCGATGTTGTCGATGAGTATTTCACCTTGTGTTGTACCACTAAGACGAGACCATTGCACAACTCGTTCATTCATACGATCACAAATAATGAGACTATCCGCCTCTTTGCCAATTAATACATCTGTTGGATATTGCAATTGATGTAATCCCTTTCCTTCGCCATTGCCACCAGCAACAACTTGCCCATTCGTTGTATCACCGTTCTTCCATTGCATGATACGATGATTCCAGTAGTCAGCAATAACCACTGTTTGATCACCATCAACAAAGAGACCACGAGACAAGAAGAGTTGATCAGTGGCAGTCCCTTGCCCATGGCCTCCAGCAATAGTCACTCCGTTCTGATTCCACGTGGCATTAGCAGGAATATTAACTAGAAGAGAAAGTATAAGAATAAAAGGAGATCTCTCTCTTTCTCTCGATTATAGCTAGTATATAAAATAATTTCGAAAGTATCGAGCAGAACTCTTTGAATAGATCATTCTTTTTTTTGGAAATTCTTCAGAATAAGTTTTTTCTACACTGGAAGATTATTCTAAAGAAAGAATCATACCCTATAGCTAGTGGCGTAACCAGGGGGTGGCCAGAGGGGGCTCAGCCTCCTCTACGAAAATTTGCTGGTTACGCCACTACCTATAGCATATCGTTCTCTCTCTCAAGCGTATTTAAATTCTATATTTTTGTAGAAAATTAAACTTAAAATAATTACATATCTAGTTAACCCAAGCAGACATTAAAAAGTCATTCAATCGGAATTTCAAGTTTTGAACTCTATTTATCTACCTATTTCTTTTGTGTGGGCGTGGGTGTATCGCGAGATAATTAATCGAAACTCTTGTAAGTAGTACACAAGCAAGAATGTTTTGAACAATACCAACCTGTAATAATTTATTCAATAATGAGTTTACAACAATAAACGAAGATAGAAATATTGCGCTGCTAATAGTAGGGCGCGTATGTTTCTCAATACAAGTCAAATCTATAACTATTTACATTCTAATAAATTATTTCTTCGAACAACAACTCAAATTTTAACTACTCTGTGACTTATAGTACTGCCCTGGGGGGGGGGGGGGGGGGGGGGGGGGGGGGGGGGGGGGGGGGGGGGGGGGGGGGGGGGGGG